TAGGAAGGAAGGCCTCGTCTTTGGTGGAAGGGGCGATAACATCTAGTGGACTTGAAAAACCTATTTTCCTGACAAATTGTTTTAAGAGAAAGATTTCGACTGACAAAAACGCTATCTGATCGGCTAATAAATACCAACTATTTCCTTATAAGGAAACAGCTAATATTGACATTACTATTACAGAGGTCATTCTTTCTTTCTTCTTTCGTGCATTTAACTAAGATTTTTCTAATGTTCCCAACATATTTTTATCGCCCTCTCTTATTTTTCATTCTTTTCTAAATCTCTTTCATAAGATACATTTTATATTCTGATGCTATTTGAACTTCTTAAGCGCTGGCATTAATTAATTGTTGACTAGGATTTATTGCGTCTAAATTTCAATTGATTTTAATTACAAGTTTCTGTTGCATAACTGCTATGTAGATGGAATCAGAAATAAAAAAAAAAAAAAAAAATATGACAGTAATTCGCAACCCTTATCCACACGAATCCACCTTTTAAGAAACTGTCTTGCGGATTTGGCGACGAATATCATTTATTCAAGTTAATACTGTAGAATGCCTCATATCCGAAATCACTCATATACGGAGGGCCTCATATCCGGAATCCCTCATATCCGAAGTGCCTCATATTCGAAATCCCTCATATCCGAAATCCCTCATATACGGAGTACCTCATATCCGGAATCCCTCATATCCGAAGTGCCTCATATTTGAAATCCTTCATATCCGAAATCCCTCATATACGGAGTGCCTCATATCCGGAATCCCTCATATCCGAAATCCCTCATATACGGAGTGCCTCATATCCGGAATCCCTCATATCCGAAATCCCTCATATCCAGACATGATTTTGATGTGTATATTTGAATTATGTCTATGATATGTAACTGATTTGAAATTTCTGTTTTTCCAGAAATTTACTTTGGATACTTGCTTATGCTTATTTCATCTTAATGGCTTGAATTGGTTCATTCAAAGATAATGAGAATAAGAGGAAAAGAACAAATTTATCGCAAAAAATGGCAATTTTAAACAAACTAGACGTTGGTGAAAGTTCATTGTAACTAATGGCTGAATTCAACATAGGAAAGTCAACATTGTATGATATAAAATCTTCCAAAGAAACTATTTTCCAGCGTTCACGCTGTCACAATGTGATGAAACCTGGACTGAAAAAGCTATTAAAAATGTTGTCAGTTTTATGGAAAGAAAGCCAGCATTCAGCTATGACGATTGCAATAACTCACGCAAGAGTTAAAAAGTGTCTTTCGTTTAAAAAAATTCAAGATCAAAAGCAAAACGAAGTTGCATTATTTGTCTTGCATACGTGGCATATTTCATTTAATGAATTTTCATTAACATTACATAATTTCTTTCTTTTTTTCTTAAAATCAATTCACTTACAGATTCACCATTATCTGTATCTATTTTTATTATTCAATTCGAGCGCTTGATACGCCGCCTTCTTTCTTTGTATTCCATAGTGGTATTAGTAGCTATATAATATGAAATTCGTAGCCATGTCATTTATAGTTTTTTTCAAGTATATTTTCATCTTCATTAAATTTACCATTTAATTGTGGTTTGTTAAGAAAATTAGTATTTTTATTAGGTCGTTGGATGTTTACTTCGGCCTTCGTTGAGTGTACGATTGTTTTTAATCCTTTTCTTCTATTTTCATTTCCTTTTGATTGAGTAATTCCTTATTTCATGGGTGTGCTGGTGTTGTAATCGACAGTGTCTCGGAATGAGTAATCGAAGAATGCACAATTATTTTGGAGTTTTTGAAATTCAATTTGTCGGTGACCAGGGATTTAAAAGAAGATACATTTATAAAGCAATTGTTATGTTTGATAAAAATTGGTTGACAGTTCAACGAAAAATAAGAAAGAAACCAGTAAAAATCGCAATTTTTCGCTATTTACGTTGGTTTTCACTATATGGGGGAGGATCAATTATCAAGTTAAATGACTGTCAAAAAATCAACTTATTGTTGGCTACAATTGTGTGAAGTTTGTATTAGATTGAGTGAAAATTCGAGTAGTCTTTAGTTTAAAATTTGTGTTGAAATCGATTTTTTCATTTTTCGCGGTTTTTCACTAAACCCAGTGGCGTAGAAATAAAAATGAGGTATCGTCATGATGTAAGTAACCTACATACTGAGTTGGAATGAAATCGGAGGGAAAAGTTGAATTTATCGATTTTTGATCGGTTTTATCGGTTATTGATTTTTGAAAACTTTCGATTTTTTTACGCTAAGAACCTAACTCTTACATTGCATATTGTATATGCCAAGTTTGGTTAAAATCGGTTAGATGGATCTCGAGTGAATAGTTATCACACAAACAAACAGACAGTCACACAGACATCCTCTGTTTTATATATATATATATATATATATATATATATATATATATGACTCGGCATTAAATAACTCAACTAGTTGATAAGCCTTAAAAAATCTTTATTTCGTTTGTTTTTTTTCTTGTATTAAT